CAGCACACCTCGCTTTTCAGAACGATGAGCTTTGTAAAAATCGACGCGTTTCAGAAAGGCGGGGCATAGAGGAGAAACAATAATGTACATTATGTGGAAAATAATGTGTGTTTTTAAACTTAAACCACATAAACACATTACATTACACCAAATACACAACATAACGTTCTTTTTAGCAATGTCATATGACCCCTTTAATAAAAAATAAATAAATAAATAAAATCTTGACCTGACCCCAAAAGGTAGTGTATGTTACATAACACATCACTTTAAGCAGCCTTCAGCTGTACTCTCAGAGACGCTGTCTTGCATGTTTCATGAAAGGCCCTTTATGTAACTCTGCTGGAAATGAACGCTTGAGGAATGTTTTAGAGGATTCAAATATAACTTACGAGTGGGCCTAATGCAAACAGAAAAACAGATGCTTACATGAGGTTTGGTGAGTGGAGATGAGACAAATTTTGGAGATTGTGTGTGTGTTTGTGTTGGTGAAACGAAGATGTCTACAGACACTTTTGTTAAGTTTGTGTCTCTGTTATCTGTCCAGTTGGTGATCATGGCGGGGACGGTGCTGCTGGCGTACTACTTTGAATGCACAGACACGTTTGGGATCCATGTCCAGGGTTTCTTCTGTAATGACGCAGACCTGATGAAGCCGTACCCCGGGGTGGAGGAGAGCAGCTTCGTCCCTCCTCTCATCCTCTACTGCGTGGTGGCTGCTGCGCCCACAGCCATCGTGAGTAGTGATAGCTCCAGATCGCCAACTGTTCATCCAACAACTGACTGGTTCAGTAGTGAGGTTGACTTTCTGGTGATGTAAACAACATTCATTTTAAAGGTTCAGTATCCTTCTTCTTAAGAAATACTATACTATAAACTAACACACACAAAAAAAACTCTTCTTCCAATAATAATAACAATTATACTCTAAACACAGTATTATACTCTGTTAAAATTCAAACACATAGTATTAATATATAATATAATATAATATATAATATAATATAATATATAATATAATATAATATAATGTTTTTGTTTTCTTATGATTGCTGGACATGAACACCAGAGGGCACTCCAATACCAACACACAACAAACACCACATTCATGCTTTTTTCAAGTAAAATAATTCAGCTCAATTATTTTTATTCGATGTTATTATTAGTTTATTATTATTATATTAATATTATTATTATTTGACCTCTATATTTCAATTATGCACAGGTGTAAAACATGAATGGGAAATAAACCTTAGTCTCCAGAATGGAGTTTCAGTGTGACTCATTTCCTTTTAATAACCACACGGATCATAAAACCAAAGACCAAATGAGAGCGAGTATTTCTGCTGAAAATGATGGTCTCAGTTTTACTGCCTTTGCTTGGGCCTTGATCAAAAGTGCAATGAAGCAGATAGGAGTTACAGAGGTCATTTTTCAAATTAGATACACCATGAGGATATATATATATATATATATATATATA